CCCTTTGTGCAAAGGTGAATAATTTTGGTCAGAAAACAGATGAACTTGGTGTTCTTTAGCACCGCGTTTCCATCTCCGTAGTCTCCTTGGGGAAGTAACCGGTGAACCTGGTAGCCGTTCTATGAGTTTTAGGTAAACTAGGATTTACGGCCTCATTTCATACCTGGGTTCTTGTACCTTAGAAACCCCTCGGCTCCTGTTATCAACAGACTCCTCCTTGGTGGAGGACAGACCTGGAGACCTCTATACCATCCTGCCAACCCTATTCTCAACTGAGAACCTGCAGCGTGGTGGTGGGGAGGAAAGAGACAGGAATTTTTCCAATTCCTAATGCTGTTGGTGGTGGGCTGGGTCTTCTCTTTCTTTAATACTTGTTATTCTCCTCAGGAAACATGTCGGAAGTGCCAGGGGCTGTGGAAGGAGCACATGAACCTCACCTGCGAGCAGCTGGCTGAGAAGGATGACATCAAATACAGGACGTCCATGTAAGTAAACCCCACAACCAGGCAAAAACGAGGGGGTGGATGAAGGGAGGGGATTCTGCCCCTCTGCTCTGCTCTGGGGAGACCTCCCCTGGAGCCCTGCGTCCAGCTCTGGAGCCCTCAGTACAAGAAGGACATGGAACTGTTGGGCGGGGCCAGAGGAGGGCTACAAAAATGATCCGAGGGCTGGAGCACCTCTCCTATGGGGACAGGCTGAGGGAGTTGGGCTTGTTCAGCCTGGAGAAGAGGAGGCTGCGGGGAGACGGGATTGTGGCCATTCAGTACCTAAAAGGGGCCTATAAGAAAGATGGGCAAAATCCTTTTAGTAGGGCCAGCTGTGACAGGACAAGGGGTGATGGTTTTAAACTAAAACAGGGAAGGTTTAGACTGGATATAAGGAAGAAATTCTTTACACTGAGGGTGGTGAAACCCTGGCAGGGGTTGCCCAGAGAGGTGGTGGAGGCCCCATCCCTGGGAACATTCCAGGCCAGGTTGGACGGGGCTGTGAGCAACCTGATGTGGTTAAAGGTGTCCCTGCTCCCTGCAGGGGGGTTGGACTGGGTGACCTCTAAAGGTCCCTTCCAACCCAAAACATTCTGTGATTTTATGATTCTGTGAACTTGTAATAGCAATACACTTGGCAATACGCTCTGGTGTGGAGGGGATGAGAAACCCTTCTGTTCTTGTGACTGGCAGAGGCCCTCAGGTTCTGCTGGGTGTCGCTACCTTCCATCAGGGAGGTCCTGGGGATGTCAAAGCCGCAGGGTCAGAAGGCACCCAGGATGGGATTTCTTTCTGTGAAAGATACTTGGCAGCGGATCCAGCTGGTAATTCAAGAACGTGGGAGAGTTGTCACCAGACCAGCCTGTTCCCCTGGCTAGCCCAGCGTCTCGCAGGCCGGCACCTGGCCCTTCTCGGGGGTGAGAAACCCCCATAGCATTGCTGGGGGGAGAAGGGAGGTGTTGCACAGAGGCAAAGGAGTGTATTGAGTCATGGTGAGTCGTTATTACCCTTTGATAACGTAGAGTGCATGCTCAGCCTCTGCTTTTTGGCATCACAGGAGGGGATGTGCTTTCTTATAGAAGCTTCTCTCTGTTTCTGACCCATTTGTAGGAATTGTTACTGAATGGAGTTGTGTTTTGAAATGCGCAGGTGTAAATCTTGAGTGTTTCCCTAAAATCTTTTGAAGTCTGATCTCTCTCATGGCTACAGTAAATGACAAAATCCTCTGCCTTTAGGAAATGAGGGAAGGTTCATCCGTGGAGCTGCATGTCTTGGGCAGTTACAAATGGGACTTGCCCAATCCTTTCCCCCCTGATTTAGAGGCTGTCTGGCATGAGTAGAGGCTTGAAGGCTCCACCGTGGTGAGGCTGAATGACTATTGCTTGCTCATCCCGCAGTCCCTAATTCAGAACAAAATCATTACAGAGTTGATAGGATTATTTTTTTTCCTCTGCCACTCCTTTCCCTGTAGGAAAGAGGGCTGAGAGGGGGGAGGAATGAGTTGTCGTGTCCCTAATAAGGAAAAAAAATCAGTTTCAAAACCTTTAGCAGGAACATTTCTGCGGATAGATGAGTCTTACTGCCTGATACAATAAAAGCTTCCTTTTGAAGCTCTGTGTAAGGAAAGGGAAGCACAGCTGGAGTTCAGGCCAAACTTCCTGCCTTGCTCAAAGTTTCCAAAAAAAAAAAAAAAATCTGCCTCAGCAGCATCCTGTTGAGCAGCGGAGGGGAGAGCAGCTGCAGCTCAGAGGAAAGGCAGTCTCAAGTTGGGTTGGTGTTTTTTTTTTTTGGTTTTTTTTTTTTTTGTCTCTCTTCTTAGCGTACCTCCGAACGCCTGGGTGCGGGTGATGGCAGGTATAGGTGCCGTGGGAGCTTTGGGGAGCTGCAAGGCAGCTGGAGGTCCCACCCCGCCGTTCCCCGCTCCTCCGGTTGTGCTGACGGGGCGGTTTGTGGGTCGGTGCTGTAGCTTCCTTTGCTCCTGCGATCCTCCTCCCTGTCATCTCCCAAACACATGTTGACTTTGCAGCTCCTCTAAAGTAGCTGGGTGGAGATGCCTGGCTAAGGACGATCGTCCCCCGCTGTCAGGTCAGCGCAGCCAGAGAACTGCGCTTCCCTCGATGAAAACTGCCTCTTTACTCTTCTGTCATCAGATTTCACTTCTAGGTTGTGAATTAAATTGTAATGTGATCTCCAGTGGTCAGAAAATTGGCCCTTAGGATGACAACTTATATTCTTAAGTCTTTTAATTAAATGACCGAGGCTTTCCTCCATTTCTGTGCCAAAATAGTATTGCCACGAGCTGAGCCTTTGCCCTGGAGCGCGTGTCGCTGCCAGGATGTCTCTTGGGGACAGGGACTGCTTTGTCCTGGATTCCCTTTTGTGCTCCACTAGAGTAAAACCCATCTCTTGAACCTAAAGCAATAACCTCTGGAAAATGTATGTAGAGAATCTTAAGAGAACGGGGAAAGCCCAATCTCTGTGGGGAAAGAAGTGATTATTTTTCTGTTACTAATTTAAATTTAACAGAAACCAAATAAATGTCGAGTATAGCAGCCAGGGTTTAAAAAAAATATATACAGTCGTGGCGACTCTGTAGCCGGAGCAACAGGCAAACATAAAACTAGCTAGCAGATGACAGCCAAGGGTTTTCTTTGCCTGAACTTTATCTCCTGGGCTGTGTTTCTCCACAGCCAAGTCAAGCATCCACGTGCCCTTTGGCCCTTCGACTTGGGGCTTACATTCCTCCCAAGCCGGAGCCTGGCGCTGCGGCGTTTTGGCTCGCATGGGAACCAGGATCGGGTCTGCAGCATGCAGCCAGTGATTGACTTTCTTTCACTTAATTTGTTCTTGAGTTGTCGTGGGTTGGCTCCAAGTGGAGCTGAGCCCAGACCTCCTTGGAACAGTGGTGGATCGTGGGGATGGCGTAGGAGGAAGGGAGGAGGGGGAGAGGTGCACTGGGGGAAGGGGGGTTAAAGCATTGCTAGGATAGGGTAACAGTAATTTTACTGCAGGCTGGTGACTGCAAACACCCCTTCTCTAATTCTTCTCCCTCTTCTTGCATTGCAGAGAAGAGAAAATGACAGCCGCCCGAATTAGAAAATGCCACAAGTGTGGGACTGGCCTCATTAAATCGGAGGGTTGCAACCGCATGTCCTGCCGTTGCGGTGCTCAGATGTGCTACCTCTGCCGGGCTGCCATTAACGGGTACGACCACTTCTGCCAACACCCCCGGTCGCCTGGGGCTCCCTGCCAGGACTGTGCAAAGTGCTCTCTCTGGACAGATCCCACAGTAAGTAACGAAGGACTTTTGTGAATGATTCGCACCCTGATTTCAATTATGGTTCCATGCCAGCGCGTTGAAATACATGCCTTCCACCAGAGGAAAACGGCTGTTTTTAGACAGCACAACTTTTTTCCTTTCCCAAGGCAGCTAAAAAACCACACTGGAAGCCTACATCAGCAGAGAGTCACATCTGACTGCAACTTGGAAGGAACTGGTGTTGCTTTAGGGAAAAACAGCTCCTGTTAGACAAGGGCTTTTGTTGGAAGTGCTCTGAGCGTTGTTCTGGGGAGTGGGGCTTGTGGAAGGAGCTGGTGGGGAGCGTGTGCTGGCACCAGGCGCGGTAGCCAGCCTTGGGATTACTGGGACTCGTTCCTAGTTTTGCAGCTGAATTGCAGCTTGGTAAGGCTCTGCATCTGGAGGCGAGGGGAGTCATGTCTTTTTGGTGCCCAGAGCATCTGCTCGTTCTGCCAGTCCCTTCGCAGGGAGAGAGAAAACTGCCTGCAAGCCAGCGGTCCGAAGTTACGGTTGGGTCCGTTCTCACGGCTGTTACCAACAGCTGCAAAGGGAGAACTGAAGCGTGGACTGAGCTGTAAGAGAAGCTGTAGTAACTTAATACAGCTTGTAGCTGTGACGAGCATGGGAGAACTTAGTGCAGCATCTCTGTGAGCAGAGGTCTTCAATACCAGAAATCTGGAAGGAGTGTAGGCAGGAGCAGGACTTGAATTCACAGAATCCCAGCATGGCAAGGGTTGGAAGGGACCTCAGGAGATCACCCAGTCCAACCCCCTTGCTCAGGCAGGCTCACCCAGAGCATGTTACACAGGACAGCGTCCAGGCGGGCTTTGAATATCTCCAGAGAAGGAGGCTCCACAACCCCCCTGGGCAGCCTGGGCCAGGGCTCTGTCACCCTCAAAGTAAAGAAGTTTTTCCTCGTATTCAACTGAAACCTCTTATGTTTCAGTTTGTGCCCATTGCCCCTTGTCCTGGCGCTGGGCACCACTGCAAAGAGTCTGGCTCCATCCTCGTGACATCCACCCTTGAGATATTTGTACGTGTTGATGAGGTCCCCTCTCAGTCTTCTCTTCTTCAGGCTGAACAAGCCCAACTCTCTCAGCCTTTCCTCATCGGGGAGAATTCCCCGATGTCAGCAAAGCAGTAGAGCAATGTGAATGTGGATCTGCCTTCCCAGGGCTTGGCTGAGCTTCGTTTGTCCCAACACTTCTTTGTCTTGGGCTGCTGTGGCTTGCCAGAGACTGCTACCAGCCCCCCTTTCTGCAGGGGACGGGCACGGTCCTGTGCCTGCACGGAGCAAAGGAAAAGCCGCCATAAATCTCTCCTTTGTACCTGCAGGCTCTTGGGGAATCTCCCTGCGGGGTCCCAACCGGCATAAACTCCCTAGTCCTCCGCTTGCATGCCTTTATTCCCCTTGTTATCCTATCAATGCGAGGTGTTAAACCACACACAGACGCCTCCTTCTAGGCACCCCTGAAGCGTTTCCACCACCTGGTTATGCGCTCCCTGGATTCCTGTCCCACTCCTTCCCGATTTCCACCAGGATGCTGCCCAGGGTTCGGCAGTGCTAGCGTCCTTTGTTCCCATCAGGCTGCTGATTGTGCTGGGGGATGGCATTTGTTCAGAGCCAGAGAAAACATGAGGCCTCTCAAAAAGCTCGTACTGTACTTTAAAATAAATAAATAAATAAGCAGCACAAAGAAGGCTCTGTCACCAGGCACTTTCCAGCTCTCTAATTAACCAATGTTGTGGCAAAAAAAATTTCCCACTGTCAGCAAAGAGCTGGCACTGCCTCTTTTGCACAGGTGCTCAAGTGGCCTGTGCTTTGCTCTCTAATGAAAGCTGTGATTTTCTCGTGATACTGAATTAATGCCTGACCTAAAACAACGATCTGAGCCAGAACTGTGCTGTCATTTCAAAAATGCCCTGTAAAGCTTTTTCCCTTCCTCTCCTTCCAGGATAGTGCAGAAATATGACATTGGATAAAGTCAATATGTATTAGACAGGCATTTTATGGCAAAAAGTCACTCTGGTTTTAAGACTGATAAGCCGTAATTCAGAGTTGCATTGCGTTTTAACTCAAAGTAAAAAATAGTAACAACCAGTCTGGAGCAATGTTTGATTTCCTCTGACCTTACCATTCAAAATTAGTATCTTTGCCTCAAGTTTTGGTTGTTTGGTTGTTTTGGTTTTTAATTCGCAAAAGGCCATTCCCAATATTATAGTCTTTTCCCAACACAAGCATTATTCCCCCTTCTTCCCTCCCTCGGTACATCCTGTACATATCTAATTCGCTTCGCCTAATGCACCTTACTGATGTATTTGTTGAAACATTATCTTGCATTTTTTTTTTTTTTTTTTGGGGGGGTGGGGGTGGTGATGGAGCACTGGTGGGCTGCTGGAGGTGACGTTGGGTGACTGTCCTCGCTGCGGTGCAACGAACAACGTGAAACTCAACTGTTGGCTTCTAAGACTGAAACGACAGATACCTGTGTGCGTTGTCCCCCTTCCTGAGGGACTGAGTGGCACTAACCCAGTCCCACCTGGGCGATCGGCGCTCTTATAGGGGATGTAAACAGGAGGTGACATGGTAGGTGTGAGGAGGGGAGCGAATTTGAATCTTGCCACGGGGGATACCGAAGAACATAAGGCCATTGTATCAGTAGCGTCTTGTTCTTTGTCAGGGACGATGTCCATCCAAGGGATTAGCCCAGCTGCTGCACTGGCATCTTGTGCCTTTCTCAACTCCTCCGTTTCCTCTTTTGGCAAAAATTTCTTTTATTCTGTTGAAGTCAGTAGATGGCTGGTGCTGTGCGTATGGGAAGAGAAGAATCTGATGTGGGCTTGCACATGTTTGCAGCCGTGCTCTGCGTGCGTGCAGGTTCTGAGAAGACCAGGCCAGGTCATCTTGTCACCTGTGGAATCGGCAGCCCATCGCTCCCTGGATTAGGCTCTGCTGCAAAATGGGGAGGGCACACATGTGGCACCAAAGCTTGGCTTATAGAGGGTGGCAGGAGGGTTTTGCTCTGATTTGTGATGCGTTCATGTACAGCCTTAGCTTCACAGCAGCCCAGTGCATTGGTCGCTGTACCGTGGTCTTGTCCGTTGGCGTTTCACGGATGTGGACTTCAGCTTTCTGTCAGACCTGGGTGATTCCCTACCTTTGTGAAGGATCTGGCTTGGGTCTAACTCCCCATTATTTACAGCAAAAGTCAGGTTTCTTTAAACTAGGGAACCTTTGTTCTTTTCCAAATGTTTAACGTTTTCTGAGTCTGAAATGATGCTTGTGAAAGTAGAAGTAAACCTATTCATTAGCTTGGGTTAAAAACAAATTAAAGACAGTCCTCTAGGAACGGCGGCATCTGTTAGTCTTTGTCTCGAATGATCTTGAGAGAGTAAAGGAGATGCTTCAAAATTTCCCATAATAAAAGGTTAGTTAAAATCCCGTCCCTGTGCTGTAATCAGACGAGTCTAATTAATAGAAACGTATCGGTGCAGTATTTGCTGGCTCCGAGGCGCGCTGCAGCCGGGCGGTGGTCAGCAGCTTCCAGGGTGGCGGGCAGTAATCGCTTAATGGCTGCGTTTCTTCTAGAGCTCATCGGTGCCCTGCACCCCGGTAGGACACGAACACGGGCCAGGAGCTCTTGTCATATAAGCTGCTTGGCCAAAAGTCCTCGTGTGCCTGTTCTGCAGCCGGCGCTGGCTTTGGCTGGGCTCGCTGAGGCGTTGCTGGCTGCAGCAGGGGCTGATGCAACGTTGCCAGAGACAAAGCTGGGGAGGGAGCGGTGAGAATTGGCTCTGCAAACAGCAGGCTCTGGGACTCAGGGGCTGTGTTTTCCCCGATTTCTAAATATCTGTAGCAAACCTGAGGCTGATGCGTGCATTGCAGCCGGCTTGTACAAATCCCTTGATGCAATTTGTCTAATGCATTCTGGCTGTTTCGGTAACCAGGTTCTGCTCTCGTATGTATTATTTTTAATTTAATACTCATCTTTGGACTATCAATAATATTGCAGAGCGGCTTTTTTGGCTTTCAAGTTTAAGATGTTTTCAGTAAACTCTTTAAAACGCTCCCAAAGGCCCATCATTAAAGTTCAAAGCGGAAGACTAATCATTATAAGGTGCTTGCAATTATCCCTCCTTGTAGCGTTATAAAAAGATGATGTTGAGCAAAGACCATGTAAGACTTCAAATGCATTAAGGAAATGCATGAAGTACATAGCACTGCCTTTAGGATTTGGGGGGGGAGGAAGCACCCCTAAATTTAGGGTGTTGTGGGTTTTTTGGGTGGGGGGTGTGTGTTTTTTTTTATCACACTATAAAATGCCTTAATCATAAGCATACGGTTAATCGGCGGCGTTCACAGAAAGCCATCAATAGGGAATGCCTGTTGCTAAAATAACCCTGCATTTCTTAAACGCCAGCGTGTGCTTCGTCCCCGTCGTGGCCCCCCTTTCCCTGCAGCACTGCGGATGCCCTGTTCCCGTTACAACACAGCCTGCTTTTATCCCCTGCTTCCCGCTGCATGGAGGAACACGCCGGAGACAGCCGATGCCTGTTCTTGCTCAGGCTCTCCGCAGCTGATCTGGGAATGATTTGAAACAAAACCCCTTAGTCCTTTGGAAGCCTCCGTCGTGAAAAAATCATTTCAAGTTTATTAGGAACGGCTGCGGCCACACATACGTGGAAAAAGAAAGCAGTAAAAAGCCAGAAGGGGGGAGGCAATGGTGGCGGAGGCGCTTTCTAAAGGCAGGGGAGGGGTTGAGCAGCCCAGAAATAGTTACCAGGTCTCTTGTTTTTCCTCTTTCAGGAGGCGGGCAGCCGCTTTCCCGTGACACTTCATAATTAAAGATAACGAGAAGCGCAGTAGATAAAAACAGAGCTTTCAAAAGCTCCACGGATAGCACCTCTGGTCTGGGCAGGGGAGGTTTTATTTGGGGGGAGGTTGTGTCTGTGTGACTTGCAGAGCTTTTATCTCCTTTGCCGCTGTATTTTCTCCTTCTCGATGGGCTGTTTGTTTCTCCGGCAGCTCTCTCTGCCTGCGTGCAGGGTCCTGCACGGATGCTGGATGGGGCTTCTCCCTCCCAGCTCTGTTGAAAGGGCCTCCCTGCCATGAAAAGGTGCCTCGCTTAGCAACCCAGCCCAGCTCTTTAGTTAATCCATCCACAGACCCCAGCCATCCTTTCCGCTGTGATTGGCTCCGTGCTCGCCGCATTCCCTGGATTCAATGGGAGAGGGCTGAAAGGAAAAGCCTCCTCCATGCTGAGATCCTTTTGCAGGTGGGGAATGGAAAGGGCAGGCTCTCAGACTGGCCAGGGACGAATAATTTTTTTTTTTTTTATTTTGGCTACAGGACCAGGGATGGTTGCTGCAGAGAGCATCCTGCTGTCAGGTTTGGGGCAAAGCTCGGTCCTGTTTTGCCACTTAAAAATGCAGCTGCTATTAATAACTGCGTTCACTCTCTGCAGTGTTTGCAGATAAGAAGGGTGAATTCATCTTGCAGCTCCTTTGCATTTTTCTCTTGGCCACCTCCCTTCTCCCGTAATGCAATGGAGCCTGGGGAAGAGCCACGCTATAGCACTGCCCTGCATTTATCTCTCAGGAGGAGAGCCAAGTTATATCCTTGCTCAAAAAAAATGTAGGCTGGCCAGTGCTGAGACCCCCCCCAGGCTTTGGGGGATCGGCTCTTTCTCTTTTTTCTTTTTTTCTTTTTTTTTTTTTTTTTCCTGTAGGCAAGGCAGCTGACAGGAAGATGACTGTTAACTTGACAAGATAAATCCCTTCAGTCCACACAGCCTGTGAACAGGCTATTAAATTTATAATCTAATCCTTTATTAAGGGACTTGAACCCGCTCAGGAAAAGGGACACAAGAGGCTTTTGAAATTGTACCGCAGCCTCCACCCCATGTGACATTAAATGGTTTCTTACCACAGCAGCCAGCCCTAAGTCCGCTAATGAAAACTTAATTTTTTGGTGTGGATGCTTTACCCCTAGATGAATCAGTCCTCTCTCTCCCATTACTGTGGAATAAAAAAAAACAGCCTTTGCTTCTCAAAGAATTAGCGGTGTTTTGCAAAAATCACTGGTGTACGTGGTGAATATTTGCAGCGCTGAGACTTGCTTTTTAATTCTGACCTGCGCCGGTGCGACAGGTAATGGCCAGAACTCGTGGCATCAGCTTTCCTTCATGGATACCCAGTATCCTAAAATTATCTTGCTGTGCACATATCATCAGGTTTTTTTGTTCTAGCTGGGATGTGGATCTTTCCTAAATACTGCAGGTATTGAACTGTGCTGTGCATTCATCGCTTGCCAAATTTGTCAGCTTCGTAAGTAGGAAGATGCATACTGTGTAGTGTATTTTTGTTCTTCCTATGTTAATGGATACCAGGTTTTCAGAAATACTGATGCAAAAAAAAATAATAATAATTAAGCTAAGGCTTGGTATGTGGGATTAAATATCGATACTGCTTAAAAGTGGATTCTCACATTGGAAGGTTATCAGCAGAGAAGCAGCAAAGCTGGTACCTTGTGTTCCTGGAGATGTGGTTTGTTCTGCCTCTTGCTGTGATTTGCGGTCACAGAACCGTTCAGGAACTCGTCATCCTGATCTGGATCTGTTCTTGGCAGCTTTTTTGCATCCAGGGTGTGCTGCAAGGTTTGCCCCTTCTTGAAGACCAAGAGGGGATGGGTTGAGGAGGGATCTCTGGCCGTTGCGTTTGAGGTGATGTGGTTTATGTTCTCCTTGCAAGACAGACGTCATGTTGGAGACCTGGCAGATGGGGTTTGCTGCTCTGCATTTCCCCGGCGCTCTGGGAGCTGTGGTAATTGAAGCCAGCATCACCTTGGGTGTGCGTGCAGCTGGCTCACCAGCCCCGGGGACAGATGGCTTTGTCGATCCGTCATTAGCGTGGAGGTCAGCCGCAGTTTAAACTGTGGGGGTCAAGTAGCCCTCGCTGCAGGAGGACCTTGGAAAGTTGCGTTGTTGATGTCTCCGATTCCCCAGACTTCTGCAGGACTGACTGGTGCTAACAGCGGGGTTTGCAGGAGCTGTGGCATCACGGGTGGTGGTGGCAGCAGGATGGTGGTGTCCCTGGAAAGCACTGTTTCAGAGTTAGTCACAGACTTAGACTAAAGTAAAAGCTTTTTTTAAGTTCAAAGGGCCTTCTGCACATTCCTAGGCTTTAAGGTGATGTTTATGCCTTTGTATGAGTGAAGGAGATAGGGTGTTGTTCAGTTGAGCTTAAAATATGTTTCTTAGTTGTCATATAACTAAAAAAACCCTTCAGGAGCATCTGTTCCCGTAAGCGGCGGTAAAATGGGAGAGGTAGCTGTCTCCATTTTCCAACAACATTGCAAAAAATATTCTGGGAAGAAAAAAAAATAAAAATAAATTGAAATCTTGACACTTTGGGGCTACCCTTTGAGGGCACCGCTCGGGCAGTGAAGGAGTTGGGGGGGTGTTTGGTTGCCTGTCTGCGGAGCATGCCCAGGTTGTTTTCCAGCCAGGGAACCTTGCAATCTGATAGTTGGGGGGGGGGGGGGAACTGGAAGTTCTGTATAGGCTCAGAAGAGCCATTCTTCAGCAGTTTTTATGGAGATAGATAGGCTGTAATTAACAGTCCATGGAAGCAGCCTGCTTGGAAAACAAAAAAGCTTCTCCTGAAAAGTCTTAATTTTAACCATTGACTCACAGAACAATAAAAGGGAGGCAAGTATTGAGTTTGATGGCTTTCTGCAGATTAAGATAACTTCAGTCTCCCAGGGAAACCTTATCTGGTGGCAGGAGGAGGGGACATCTTAGCAAGCTTCCCCAGCGTTGCTGCTAGACGCGTGCAGGACCGTGAGATTGGAATTGGGAAACTGGCTGGACTTAAAATAATTTCAACGTAGCTGTACACATGAAGCATATTTCGAATTTAGTCCCAGAGCACTCTTGAAAATAGAGGACATTTTCCACATTAAGAAGAAACTTATGGGTTTTGGCGGTACTGGAATTAAGATGCATAAAACAAAGCAGAGTCTTGCACGTTGTGGGGTACGTGGGGCTTGAGGTTTCCCTCCGGCTCCACCCTTGGGCTTGCAGATGATCTGCTGAAGCAAACCAAACGCTCCTTTCTACGCAGGTAGACCCAGGGTGGCTGATGCCTGATGCAGGTGTTGCGTGTCATCCAACAGCTCCTGTGCTTGGCCTTCTTCCCTAACAACTAACATCAGGAGTGCAAACACTGTCTGGGAGGCTTAGCTATTCTCATTTGTTTTCTGAAAGCGCCGGGTATAGGGTTTCATCCCAGGGACACGAAGCGGCAGCAGATGCAGCCCTGCAGAGACCGGAAGGACCTCTATTGCCATCACTGCACGCATGACCAGCAGAAGCATCTGCGGCCTGGCACGAAAAGGGAGTTGTCTCCGTAGCTGTTTGGTGTGATCCGTGTTACCCTGATAGCTGTTGCATGCCGTGGTACAGTGAAAAAACTCATTTTTTCACAGCCGTTCTTGGGAGCGGACAGCTGATGCTGAAGCATGAATCGGGGCCATTCTCTGGTTTCATGCCAATGCTAGGACGGCCTTGTGTAAAGCCTGAGGGATGCCTGGGCCCTCGGTGCCCGGGACCATCCCTCCAGGCAAGCCTCTCCTAGCTCAGGAGTCGCACAGTCTTCTTCCAGGACGTCCATCGTGCTCCCTTGATCTAACATGAGGTGGTGTAAATGCCATCTCTCGAGATACCCGCAGCCACCTGAGGCTTCGCTGCGTTGTTTGGTCTCACTGCTGCTACTTTGGGTTGAGAAAACTGAAGATGAGAGGCAGGACGCTTTCAATTTCTTGCATGCCCTTGTGTTCTTGTGGAGCAGCGGGTCTGAATATTCTTGCAATAACCTCTCGATAGACATTAAAGAAACATATTGCGATTTATGCCCTCCTCAGAGTTGCAGATAAGATCTAAACGGCCTCGTCACAGCACCGTTTAGCTACTAGAGCCAGGATTTAAGTTGTGTTAATTCCAGCTGTTGAGCCAAAACCTCTAGAAGTGCTAGCATAATGTAAATATTTAATAGACTATTGCCATTTAAAAGATTAACAGCTCTCCAGCAACTCTTCAGGTGGGCGGAGCTGGGTTGCAGCTCTCTGTTTTCCATCAAGTCAATGAATTTGAGCACTGATCTCCCTGGAAAGCTGATCTAAGCCTCTTAGTCGTACTCTGTAGAGTAGGCTTGGCTCTGTGCAAGTTACTTGTGCTGCAATCCTCCATCTCAGCCTTGCTTTTTGACTAAACCTGGGTCAACCCCAAAGGAGGACAATTCAGCCAAATTTACTTTTTTTATTCCCATGCAAACACGTGCTGGAAAGAAAAGCAGCCTTGAGAGAAGAGAAGGTTGCTGCAGCAGGTTGGAATTAGCCCACTGACTCTTGATACTCTTGTGGTTTCTAGGAAGATGATGAGAAGATAATCCAGGAGATTCAGAAAGAGGCCGAAGAGGAGCAAAGGAAGAAAAACGGAGGTAAGTCACAGGCTTTACCTGTGCTTTGAGATCAGACTGAGGACGGCAGGAGAGCATAGGGTTCCCAGCTACTGGCAAGTCTCTGGCTCGGCGCTGGATTCTTCCCGTGGCCTGGCTGTTTGCAGGCTTCTCCGTGCGCTGCTGGGCTGCACCAAGCATCACCCAAATCTTGCTCCAGAGAGGAGCACAAGCCGTTGCCCTGTTCCTCCTGGGAACCAGTCTAGCTTTAAAGTGCTGCTGCCTGCAGGCTTTAGCTGGGACCGTGGAGAGGCCCAAGGCTTGTGTGCCGCTCTCACCGGGTGCCGGGTGCCGTGGATGCACAGCCCTGCCTCCTCTCCGCTTGGCGAAGTAGCTGAAGGGCAGGATAACCTCTGTGCTCTGCGGTGGGGGGCTCAGGGGTATGCAAGGGGCTGCCCCACGTCCCTGCAGAAGGAGGTGTTCACCCTGCGTGGTGTGGTGTTGATGAAAGGAGCCGACCGGGAACGCTGGTGCTGTGCTCCATGGTGCCTGGAGCATGGAAGGGGCAAGCAGTGATGCTGTAGGGTGCGTGCTTAAGGATGTGCTGGGGGTGGAGGATGCCGACTGCAAATGTAAGACCGTGGACCAAGCTTGGTGAGTTTTTTCGCTTGTGGGATGACTGGTTCTTTTCTCTCCTCCCTCTGCAGAGAACAGCTTCAAGCGGATCGGCCCTCCCGCGGAAAAGCCCATGGAGAAAATCCAACGAATCGAAGTCATCCCCAGACCTGTTCCTCAGAACCTCCATCAACCCCGGATGCCCCCTTACCCCTTCATGCACCCTCCCTTCCCGCTCCCTCCTGTCCGTCCCATGTACAATAACATCCCCCTCAACATCGGCCCTATCCCTGCTCCCTACGTCCCCCCGTTGCCTAACATGAGGGTGAACTATGATTTTCCCCAGATCAATGTTCAGCTGGAGCACAACTTGCCTATGCACTTTGGCCCTCAGCCTCGACATCGGTTCTGACGTGGGTTCAGACAGCACTTGGCGTAGAGTCACTGCAGGGCAAAGCCACCCCAGGAACATCACCCCCCCCTCCTGCTCCAGCCCCTCTCGGCGTAGCCAGCTGCAAGGGGACCTGCTCTGGCTCATGCCTACCTGCACTGTACCCCTCTCTAGAGCTTCTCCGAACCTTTGCAATCAAACATTTCAACCTGTGCTGCAACAGGGCTTGGTGCTGCATTTCCAAGGGGTCTCTCCCTGTGTTGGGCACCCAGATATTTTGATTTGACAAAGCCTGTTCAGGCAGCTGTTGGGAGGGAAGGTGAGTCTTTTTGGAGCGCGGGGATGCAGCCTTTCCTCGGGGACTTTCCAAAAATCCTACCTTCCTGCTGGCCAGAGCAGCTGCCACACGGTCAAGTGAGTCTTGGGGGAAGGGAGGAGAGATTTGGCATCTGAGTAAGACCTTCAGGAACAAGGTAACAGGAGTCAGCTGCCCTAGCCTTCTGCCTGCCGAGAGGCACGAGGCAGAGATTCCCACGTCCTCCGGCATCCCTGTAACCTGTTAGCGCCTCCCAGCAGAAATAAATCGTTCAAAACAAAAGTCAGTCTAGTGTTTTTAGCATTCATCGCTCTGTAAGTGGAGTGAGGGGATGCAGCAGCCATCTCGTTGCCGAGATCTTGGTAGGAAGCTCGGAGCCATGTTCTGTCTCAGGGCTTTAGGAAGTAGAAGAAGACTCGGGCACGCTGATCTTAGGCTGAACAGGATTTGCCCCCTTTGAAAGGTTTGGTTGGGGTTTTTTTCCCCAGGTATGGGTGCCCCTCAACTTCCAAAACTTGGCCTTTGCTTTGCTGTTCTCATCCGGCATCTCAAATCCTCCTCTGCCAGAAGTTGTCGAGCAGTTGGTTGCGGCACCTGGAGCCTAAGCTGCACCCTTCATTGCAAAAAGTGCTTGGGCAAACACCCGGGTAGATGTGTAGACAGTTGTGTGTGATGTGTGCTGTGGCAGAAAAATTAAGGAACTGCCCCTGTAGTTGTGCCCGCAGGCAGCGGTGAGCTGGGAGCCCCCTCAGCCGACCCCCTTGCAGCTGTAGCCTTGTGCTGCAGGAAGCTGGCTGCTTCCGCGGCGCTTAATAACTTCTGAAAAATGTGTGTTTCAGCTTAATTGGCTTCTGAAAAACACGTTAAAAGGCAAATGTGAGTAGTGCTGGGTTTAGGAAAAGCAAAACTTGGAAGAAGCAGAGGGTGCAGTTGCCGGGCTGTGGGAGGAGCGTTGGCCCAAAGCCCTTTCCCCACCGCCCCGGGCTGTACTGGCTGGTACAGGCCCCCTTTCGAACAGAAAATGGTTTGAGTGGAAAAAAAACAAAACAAAACAAAAAAAAAAACCTCCTCCAGAAATGCCTGGGCTGGCTTTTAGCAGCCCCCTTGTGCCGTTGTTCCTCGAGTGGTTTGGTCTGGGCCGCATCCTGCTCCGTCCTGCTGGGATGCCGCTGCGCTGGCCCTCCTGTTTGTTGTTCCCCCTGTGTTTGACCATTTTAGGTGGCTTCTGGTTGTATTTGTTTTTCAGGTAAAACTGAGACGGCCTCTGCCAAGCCCTCGCTTGCAGCTCTCTGTAACTGCTCCCAGCACGGCATCTCCTCCGGCTCCGTGAGCGACGGGCGCAGGGCTGTCGCTGGGATGCTCCCGGAGGGAGGCAGCGTCCACCGTGGCCTGGGACGGCACCTGGGGACTGTTCCCCCCAGGAGGGGCTCCCAGAGGAGACTTGCA